TTTTTTTTTTTTATTGCAGCTTGCAAAGATAAACCGTTTGGAGGAGCGGCTGCATGCGATGTCCTACATGGGTCATTTCCGTGATCGTGTTCTAGAGATGCGCCAGGTCTACCCTTTGTTTAGTTGTCTTGCTTTGCGAGAAGTCGTTACTAATCGTGTAAATGTACTGGAGTTTGACAGATTGTACCAAAACTTCACTTTGTGAAGTGTCTAGTAATCCATCGTTTTGTTTCCGAGGGAGGGCAATGAAATATCGACGTAGAACAAAAATATGGTAAAAGAATTTAAAATACGACCTTGAAAACATTTGGCTCAGTTGTAAAGTGCCAGGTCGCCCGAGAGCAAAATACCGACGCCGTGCTGAGACAGCAAATCGACTAGGAAAATTCGAAAATTTTGGGGGAGAGGGAGCAATAATCTGATTCGAATTTTAATGACAACTTTCTCAAAATTTTTCGTTTTGTGCTTGAAATGTCGTTTCCGAAGTACCGTATCCTAAAATGATTATCATAACTTTGTAGGATCATGTTTTGACACTTTAACTAGCTACTGTTCATAGCCTGGCTCTCCAAACATGCATTTCGCAACTTTTCAAGTTGTCTGATCAGTGTTATATTGCCCGTTTATCCGTTACTGTCGATCCTGACATTCATTTCGTCTCCTGGACCAATTATCAGCTCAGCAATTTTCCAGACAGAAACATTTAACAATGTCTCAGCGTTTTCGGGAAGTTATTGAATAATTTTTAATGTTAAGCTTAAGATAAAAATAACCAGCTGAACAGGAATATTTCACTTCATTAAATCGCATACATTCCCTTTCAGTCCGCCTTGTTATTTTGCAACGCTAAAGAACTGACCGCAGCAATTGTTAGGCCGTTGCACGCCGTTTTCTCGGAGATTGTCCAATAAGAAGTTCAGTTTGTTCGTTGACGCCAAATTTCCCGTACTACTGCGTTTGTTTCAGCAGCTTATGGATCTCACCAATGCAGCGAGCACACTTCTGGAGTCTCTTGAATTTAAGATAATTCTTCGTATTGTTACTGTTTGCTGCAACTATGCGCTTGGCGATTTCAGTGCCGAGACAGTTTGTGGATACAGGGCATCGGCTCTGATCGACGTAAACACTGCTATTATTAATTAAAATCCTTTTTTCTATGGACGCATTGCAACACTTATTTGCTAAAATATAAAGAAAGAAATACTCTAACGAAATAAAGCAGATATCGATGAATAAATCATTGTGCGCTTCTGTTTTTCATCTTAGCTGTAAGCAGAAACAGAGCCATAAGTCCGGATAGGAGCGAGAATCATCAGTGCAGCTTTCTAACCGCCATGAGTAAGATATGCATGTAACTAAATACCTAAGATCAGTATCAAAAGCGCCAGGCGATTGTCCGGTATTGGGGTCCTATATTAGTGATGCTGCTGAGTTGCTCCCAAACGTCAGGCAAGGCTATGCTAAGCCGTTTTTCTCTACCAGCAGTTGGTGAATATCGCGCATTAGCGAGAGTGGTGCTTGGAAGAAAGTAAACGACCACTCAAGGTTGCCTTCAAAAAAATGACGCGCATACATCAAATAGACGATGGGTATTAACTGATGGCATTTTATAGATGCGCCTAATATTTGTAATCGCAGCTGTGGCGCTGTCCTTTCTCCAGAAAAAAACATTTTTTGCGTAAAAACTGCTTCTTTACACTTAGCTGGTGGTTTCTTTCGGAAAACAACGTTTTTATTCTGTTTAAGCGATTGTTACAATTATGAATATTGTTACAATTATGAATATTTTTCAGATATGTTCTTTGGAACTGCCAACGACACCGAAAACGACAATGCTTAGTGTTGTTGCAGAGACGATCTCGGAACATTTTCCGGTTGTGGAGAAATTTGGAGACGTATTGTCTGCCGTCGAAAAAGCAGCGAAAGGTTATTTTTAGGTTTTCTGTGTGAATCTTGAAACGTCCGCAGCTGTGTTAGGGTTTCAAATTCTGATTCTTTGTGATTTTGATCATCAGAGTCGAAATCCCTCCTTTTCACTCTGTGTGAGAAACGGAAGCACTCGGAAGTAGTTCGAGTGACAGCATCTGCGAACAGCAGTTACTCGCTAGTAAGGCTGTCGACTGCTACCTGTTTTTTTGAGGCTGCTCGCGAACAAGCTAGTGACGCGTCTGATTCCTTGATGTGTGGGTAGTGTTAATTTACCATCGAAACGAATGGATGGTAGAGGGCCGGTTCCCACAAACGGATTTGAATCCTCAAGCTTTCAGTACTGTTCTGTACATGTCCGCCAGTTATTATCTTCATACTTTCTTTCTTACTTACTTAATTGGCTAATTACTTGGTGCTTAAGATGGCCGCTAGCTCACCTCTGATCCATTACGTAATTGTCAAATGTGAACGTAAATTAACATAAAACTATCAAATATGAATCAGTTATAAAATTACAGCTATTTTATACCCAGGCTAGAAAGCACCAGGCTTTCCGGTGCGATCATGCGTTTTTGCATTAAACTCGCAGATCACTATTAGCAAGAATGATCCTTACACTGTAGCCTAACACTTGGGCTCATACTGACCGTGCTTTGGCCTTTCCAGCATGCAGGAGAAAGGGCGTCAGTTGGGATGAAAGTGGTGCATTATAGAACCGCACGGACATCCAAATGCACGATTACCGTTTTTTTGCATGAAGTCTGGTCGTTTTTCGGTAAATGCTCGTTTTATGAAAAAATAATAAATGCAAATTTTTTGAAAAAATGCATTGTGATCCATTGTAATCTGCAAAACTTTTAAAGTCATGTGTTCAGTGAAACTGGATGACCTTTTTGCGGCAATTCGTCGTATTGAACGGGACTACGTAAGATTCGTTATTCTCTCGTCGAATGTTGAGACAAATGCAGCTATACGTGAAGTCATGTCTCAATCTGACGAACAGTTACCGAAATTGCGAAGTGATTATATCTCTTGCAGGGTTAATTTTTTGCTTTGCTTGAATTTGCGATCCGTCAGTAATCTTACCGAATCGGTAAACACAACTCTGGCAACAGGAGCAATGGAAAAGAGCACTGGAATTCAAAAGAGTAACACATAGCTAATTGGCAAGCAAAAAATGCAGGTCTGACCCGCGCTCCCAAGTCCATGTCCCGCTTATTATATCTGTTTCTTGGAGGAGTAATCCTGAAAACGCCATGCATCTGTGGATTTTACTTTAATGATCAAAATCAAAGGTCACAACCTCGCTCATGTCACTCTCCATGAAAAGCGGAAGCACCCGTGAAACGCCGACAGCAACTATGCCC